TAGGCAGGTTACCCCCCCTACCCCCCGCCCCAATTAATTCAGCTGTGTTCTTTCCAGGCTTTTTCTGTGGTCAAAAAAGATGATTTCACTGGAATAGAGGAGGACTCTTCTTTGTTCAAGGGTACATGAATGGCTGGGTTCCCTGCTGAAACTGCAAATAAGTAGTTACTTATTTAATTAGAACAGTGTTTTCCAAAGTGAGGTGGGGTGTATATACCCTGTGTTATGCAAGACAGTCCTTTGAAGTACAGGAAGAAAATACTGGGATTCAGATTTTACTTTATTTCTTAACTCTCCTTTCTTTTTTAGTGTATGTTTTATAATGCCCATGATTTATTAGCTCAGGAATACCAACCATATGATTTCTAAATCTGTTTGGGCCTGCATGCTCAAATATTGTATTGATGGGGACATGAGATTTTAAAAAGTGAGTTAGAGTTACAGAATGTGAAAGTGGAACAGCGGGATGAATTGTCAGATGGTTGAGGGCTGCATGTTAGTTTTGAGAACGTTACCACAGTAATAGCTCGTGGAAACTATATATTTGATAAAAAATAAATTTCCAGTTTTAGGGTTGCTGCATAGATAAGTTTATAGAATTGGGTTCTGCCAACTATTTTCAGGCAACTGTTTAATATTTTTACAGTTGCATTATTGGTTGTAGTATTGAAGTTCTCTGGGTAAAGTTTCCCTTTTTTGACCATGTTGTGTAGTTTCTTTGTCTTTTCTGCTGCGTTGTTAGCCTAAATGGTACATAATAATAACAATAATGATAATGGTAATAATAAAAACAAATATTTATTCAGCCAGCATTTACTGATTGCCTGTTAGGTGCTAGAGTCTAGGGATGGAATACTGAGCAAAAATCAGACATGAACCCTGGATTCATGATGCTTAGCTTCCAGTAATTTATAGACCCAATGCAAAATGAAAATGTGAGGTCCCTTGTTCAAGAGAATTCTAAGACTGTGACAGCAGAACATTAAACCAAGCGTGGAGCCCTTCTAAGTGTGGGCCCTGTGCAGCTGCTCAGGTTGGACATCCAAGAAGCTGGCCCAACCTGAGGAAGTGATGTTTGAGCTGAGATGTGAGGATATGGTGGGTGGGGAAGGTTGCTCCATGGTAGAGGAAACAGCGGGAAGGAATGTGGAGCATTTAGAAACTGGATGCAGGCCACTGTGGCTAGAGTACAGAGCTGGGTGGAGGTACGATGAGGCCAGAGAGGTAGAGAGGGTGATGTGCATGGCCAAGTTGAGGAATCTGTTCTTTATTCCAAGAGCCACACAAACTATTGGTGTGTGTTAAGCATAGCGTGTCCTTTGATGTGCTTGTAGTTCCGGTAACTGGCACCTTGACAGCATTGGACAGCATTCTCTCTCAGTCCCCGTTTCCTCCCAGCCTCCTGTTCAGAAACTTTTAGTCTCACCTTCTATATTCATTCTATGGCTGGCTCTTCCCTCAGGCAGGTTTAAAAAGGCACTTCACATCAGGGAGTGCTTTTGGTGGTAGAAATGAAAATAGGATAGGTGAGTCATGAGATTTTATTCACTATTAAAGTTACTCTGTGGTCTAAAACATTTTAGGTTGACTGAAGTAAAACTAGGAATAGATGAAAATGTTATATTATTGTTTTAAAAAAATTTTTCTTTTTAAATGTTACAGATTTTTAACGTCTGTTGTCAGCACTATAATATTAAATTCTCAATCTCCCTCTCTTTTTACACATAGTCAGGAGCAAGGGTGGATATTGACCTGTCTGACCTTGGAAAAGAGGAGTGAGGAAGAAGTTGTATTTTTGGACTTTGTTTTTCACATAATAGGCATTCTCAATAAAAAGGCCTTAAATAATGTTACCTAAACCAAGAAATAGGCTTTGCACTGTGTTATGTGTGGATAATAATGTTCATGATTCATGGAATTCTTGTGAAGGCAGTTGCAGCAGAGCTCATTTCCTAGAACGATGTCTCCATGGTTGATTCGTAGATCCGCTGCCAGGCCGCACAACTTAGGATTTTCACTTTTGGCCCTCTTATCAAATAACACACTAGCCAGTTCTTCTCCCGTGTCATGCTTGAAATGTAGTTATTTGAGCTGTTCATGTAGGCAGTGCACTAAATTAGTGGTGTTTTTGTACTCTGAGCTGCTCATGGGTGAGATAGGCAGCTGGTCATTCCCTGCATCCTCTAGCATTTTTTGCCTCCTGGTCTGGATGTGCTGGAATTCCAAGCTATGAAAAAACATGGTTATAGAGGTTTATATCAGCCTACTTGCCTTCTCTCTTTGAAGTAGATTCTATTTGTGAAGATAACATGAGACATTTATGCAGAGTGACTTTCTCAGAATTTATTTTCAGTAATAATTTCTGAGTTGGAGCATAGTGTGTATCTTGGATCAAGAAAAACATACTCCCTTCACCCCTGTTTCCAACTTTAGGTTCTTAATAAGACAGCTTTAGTGTTTGTAGGCAATTTCTTTATTCTTATTTGCAGTCAGGTAATACGTTGCAAGATTTCTTTTACTTTCACATATGTCTGTTGTATTAGATCTGGAGAATCCATGGGGTGATGATGAGTTAACTTTTAACTGGGATTACTGAACACATAAATTGCTGTTCATGTGACAACTCTGCAGTGTTGCAGAGTAAGTGAAGTAGCTTCTGATTTATCAAAGAACGCTTAAATTGTATTCAACCTATATTTAATGCTGTTATTCCATTGTTTTGAAAATTTGTGATCCGTGTCTACTATGTACACAAAACAGCTAAGCAAATGTTAAAATTACCAGAATGTTTAATTGGAACACCCCATTACTTTAACATAGTTGATAATATTAAATTCAGTAAAACTTCGATTAGCTAGAATGTTTAGGGAATAGAGTGGTAGGTTTAATCAGATATCCCTTTTCTTTCTTTCCATGCACAATTAATGAACACCAACTATGTGCAAAACATGGTACAGTGTGGCATACACAGATACGTGTGATACATCTGTACCCTCAAGGAACTTAGTTTCAATATGTTTGAAATTTTTGTAAATTTTATTCCTATGCTTTATTGTTTAATAAGATTAATATAATGCACATAATTGAATCTTTGATGATGTAGGGTCTTGTAACAAATGAACCTTGTTGCATTGTTTCTCATATAGATGTAAATGGTGTGGGTGTGCTGACCATACAGTTTATCCTAAAAGGTTATTTTTCAGTAATTCGCTGATGTCAGCTTGTTTTTGTTTCCATGACTTTTATTTTAAAAACCGTTACACAGGTTAATTGGGTTCTTTTTGAAATTTTACTTTGTTAAAAAGCTTACAGTAACATATAATAAATATTTAGTTTCACTGCCTTTTTGGTACATGAGTTGAAATTCAGTAGCCTTTACATATATGTGTAATATCGTGGGTAACAGCATACAAAACTGTGTATGATCCATTATTTGCTTTATGATTTCATGGTATTGTCCCTAAATATGAGTTTAATTTTCTGTAGCCCAAACCAAACCAAAAGTAGCATTTAGAATTTATAATACTACTACCATGTTTTTCTTTTCATTTTAAAGTGTAAATAAAAGCAAATTAAGGGGTTCCCCCTCCCCAGGACTCTTTTAGTGCATCTTAAATACCTGTCTTAAGAAAAAAATACTTCACATATAAATTTCTTTTTTAAAAAATCAGCTAGAATTATATATTAAAAAAATAATTTGTTGCTGTGTCACAGAGACTGGATTAGTTTAAACTTAAGAATAATACCAATTATTATCAAATGTCATATATTTAATTTACTCCCTTGCTGAGAGCAAATGTAGTACTGTGTTAGAATTGGTGATTCTGCTGTTTTGTGGCTTTTACAAAGAAGAATTCAACAAATGATACCCTGTATATTCTCAGTGGAGGCATTGCTTCTTAAGTGCAGTTGATTAGACAAAATTCATATCTAGTGCTTTTCCCAAGCACTGGTAGGTTGCTAATATTCTCTTTGTAACTAGTCTTCTCTAGCTGAGAGGTTGAGAATCAAGGTCAAGCTTGGCTTCAGGCCTAAAATTAGCTTTGCCAGCTTTGTTTCACATTTTAAGTACTTATTGCTTCATTGTGCTGCTCCTCTTTGTTTTTGTGGGGTGGTGGTAGTGGGGTCAAGGCATTGAAGCGTTCTAGAATACAACAGGGTTCCTCTGTATATTTAAATACTGCCAGCTTATAAGGAAATGTGCACAGCCTGATCCATTTGATTCCTTCATATAGTATTCTCTGTTTGAAAATTTACTTTGTTAAAACTTTACTGTAAAATATTATAAATATTGTTTCACTATTTTTTTTTATAGTGAATGGAAATTCAGTATCTTTTTATATGTATGAGTAACATTTTGTATATGTCTTTGTTTGACGGAGGCTAAAGGAACAGTAGCATTTAGGGTGTTTTATTTTTTAAATTCTCACCTTTTTTTTTAAGTATGTAATTTTTGTTTTTTTTGGTGAGGAAGATTGGCCTTGAGCTAACGTCTGTTGCCATCTTCCTCTTTTTTTTTTTCCTCTCTAAAGCCCCAGTACATTGTTGTATATCCTAGATACAAGTCATTCTAGTTCTATGTGAGATGCCACCGTGGCATGGCCTGATGAGTGATGTGTAGGTCTGTGCCTAGGATCCGAACCAGCAAACCCCAGGCCACCGAAGCAGAGCGCCTGAACTTAACCCCTTGGCCATGGGGCTGGCTCTTAAATTCTCACTTTTGATTGGGCAAGATCTTCTTCACCTCCTCCCCATAACGAAAACAAACCCACCACCAAACAGTAAACCAAACATGCATTTAAAACAAATTATCTAACCTCCTTATATAGATTACCACAGAATCTAAGGTAGGTTGATTAGTTGCCGTATTTCAGGTAATCTTGGCTATTGGCTCTAAATGCTCCAGGCATTAATGTGTATGTGTATGTGCTTATTAATTTGGTTGGTCATTGATATGTTTTTGCCCCATGTGCCTCATTTTCACTACCTTGTTTCCACAGCTGCAGAACCTTGGCCTGAAAATGCTACTTTATATCAGCAACTAAAAGGTAGGTACTTGTTCACAATTAAAAATGGCTTTATATCAAAACATATTTATTACCACAAAAAGCCCTCAATAATATAACTGACTGCAAAGAGAACATAAGGCATAAAGAAGGGATTCCCTTGTATAATTTGTCTAGCAGATTTTACCTAAACTTGTGTCTGCCAGTGTAAACCAACTATTCATGGCCTATAAGGTGCTTAGTTTATTATTGACTCATTATATTGGCTGCTGTAGGCAGTGCAAAATGATGTGGTTGCAGGAGCAGTTGGCAGATTTACTGCGCCAATAGCTGACACAGCAGATTTTTGAAGTCCTGTGGTAAAGTGGGCTCTCAGTAAAAAGGAACTGTTAAAATGTATAGGCTAGGATGGTTCAGGCTCCCTTTAGCAGCTCTTCATATATCATCAGATCACATTATGGACCCCATTTGGGGCTCAGCAGCCTGCTACAGTTGTCAGAAGACTGCAAAGTAATGAAGACTAATAGGCAGCAGCCCTAGTCTTCTAAGCATGGAATTTTTATTGCAGCGAACTTGTCATCTTTCTTTTGTGTGACAGACCTAGACACACTGTGCAATATTAACTGCAAGCTGGTTTGATAGGATTTTGAATGCTTTTACTTTTAACTAGAGAGGTTTGAGCAGAGACTGTTTTACTTAATTTTAATGAAAAGAAGAGGAATATTTCTTGAAAACCAAAAGAATGAATTTGTTTTTAAATGAGCCATTTTACTTACATATTGTTGATAAGATGCGATAAATGATCAAATAGTTTTAGAGGAAATAGTCTTCTTCCACCATTATTTACATAACATGATAATTTAATTAAAATTAAAATTACACAATAACATTGATATAGAACTTCATAATTATATTAGCAAAAGGCTATAACTTTTGTTTTGAAAAATAGGAATAGTTTTTAAAAACAAAAAATTTACAAGTGTATTTTACTTGTTTAGCAATCGCGCTTTTGACTCAGACCTTTTGTTGTATTTCCCCAGGCGAGCAAATTTTGCTTTCTGACAATGCAGCTTCTCTTGCTGTGCAGGTAAATATGTGAATAATTTAATAATACTTTTTCACTGTGAGTTGCAATTATTTTTTTCCTCTCCAGATGGTCTGATACAGTGTGCTTAGAATTTTTCTGTGTGATTTAACATTATCAATATAACGTCTCTTTGTGAAGTATAATTTTATTATGTAATATTATTCAGTTAATTGTTTCCAGTAGATGGAATAAACATAGAAACTTTCATTGTTCATTCTGTTATAAAAATCACTAGGTGCATTCTCTTTCTTAGTCATTGTTTTGCTTTTGGCTAGATATGATGGTATTGATTATGTGGGGTGATATGTTCATTTATGGACACAGAATTAGTTTCTAACTTATTTGTGAAGATTTATTCACCACGTATTTTTAAGCATCATTCTCTCATTGTACTCGTTCTAGCCTTAATCCATTTGGTAATCCTGAAGCAGACATATTCTTCTCTAGCCATTCCTTCTATATTTATTGATTACATTAGTGTCTATTATCCCCAAACCACTTATTGAATGCAGTCGCCCTTCAAGTTGTATATCACAGTTGTGTAATCCATAAAGATTAACGGCCCTATAAACTTTAAACTGCACTGTAGGAAGAATAGGATACATGGGGATTGTTGGCTTTAAAAAAAAAAGGAAATGTTTATGTAGATTATAGAATTAAAATTATTGAAACATTTTACATATTTATTTATTTAGTTTGAGTCATAAAGAGGATTTTATTGTGCAGCATCTAAAAGATAACTTAAAAGAGAAATCTAAGACATGTGACATTTATTGGAGGTGAGACTGCGCGCTTCTTGAGCACAGAAAGAAAGGGAAGAAAAGGAACTGTAAGCTTTTGCTGTGTTCTTGGTATGATGCTAGGCACTTGGTCATCTCATATTTTTTTTTTTTTTTTAAAGATTTTATTATTTCCTTTTTCTCCCCAAAGCCCCCCGGTACATAGTTGTATATTCTTCGTTGTGGATTCTTCTAGTTGTGATATGTGGGACGCTGCCTCAGCGTGGTCTTGATGAGCAGTGCCATGTCCGCGCCCAGGATTCGAACCAATGAAACACTGGGCCGCCTGCAGCGGAGCGCGCGAACTCAACCACTCGGCCACGGGGCCAGCCCCTCATCTCATATTTTTTTATTCAACTTTATGTCCTCTGGGCTTAATAACTATGTCTGGTACATAGTGTGTCGTTCAGTACATTTTTGTTTTGCTTAAGGCAGGAAAGGGGAAAAGATGGAAAGAAATGTGTTTGGACAATAATTTATTTGTGTGAGTATCTATGAGTATCTTTACGTTTCTTTCTTTTAGAAGATTTATTTTATATCCTTTTACCAAGAATATAAATTACGTTTATTTTATTGATTTACTTTTATTTTTCCTTTAGGCGCTAGTATTATCACTAGTGTGTTTTCTTTCTTATGTTAACTTTTGAGAAGCAGAAATTCTCAGTTGGTTATTATGCAACAAATACAGACTTTATACTGCTATTTATTAATCTTTTTTTTTGGTAAGGGAGATGGAATTTAAGTTTAGCTTTCAAATACTAATAACATTGTGCCTAGCATATAGAATGTACTGAGTAAATGTTTGTTGAATGAAGAGTTTGTAAGTGTGGTAAAAGCAATTTTGCCTGACTACTGATAGCACAAGTAAGTTATTTGCTGTGTACATATAAAATAGTATTTTCAATCTTTATATCTTTGAAAAGATATTTTCAGGGCACAGTGAATATTTTAGTTGAAATACTAATTCTTAACTCTTTTTTTATTGCCATTTTTGGAATAATTGTTTCAGGATCTGGTGAAAGCTATAGCACATTTCTCCAGAAAACGTTCCATTGCACACACACAAATAAAAACGCATCCAGGCTGTTCTGCATATGGTTTCAGGAGGTTTACTGATCTCCCTGTTGGAAGCTTTTTGGGGATCCCCTATGAAGAACCCCTAAAACTAAAGAAGAGTAGTTTAGGAAGTACTGAAGTCATTTTCACCAAATAGGAAGGTATTTTGGTAGGAATAGACCGGTGGTTCTTAACTGAGGGAGATTTCTCTCCCACAGAGGACTTTTGATGGTGGTTAGACCTTTTTGGGTTGTCACAACTGCTTTTGGCATCTAGTGCGTAGACACTGGGGGTGCTATTAAAACGTCTCCCAGTGCACAGGACAGTCTCTCCACAGCAAAGAATTAGCCAGCCCCAAATGTAAATAGTGTCAGTGTTGAGAAACCATGGAATAGATGGTTTAACTAGTTTTCAGTACAAAGCAAGACATCAGTATATCACTGTTAAGAAAAAAAATTAACATCTTAAATGATCTCAGAAATAGATGAAAAAAGAAATCTTAGTGTGTGTACTTTATTTAGCAACTCTTTTTTATGGTTCCTATTAATTTGCTTTCTCACCATAGCTTCTCAAGTCATAGTTGCAATTAAAAATAAAACCAGAAAAAAAGAACCTTTTAAAATGCAGAATTTTACTTTAACCTTTTCAATTTGTTTGTTATCCTACATATGTCACTTAGATGATAAATTAACCAGCATATATTAAAAATTCTTGGACTTCTTCAATATGCTTTGACTTGACAGCTGATAGTAGCCATGACTATAAATGTGACTTTTCCAGATATCTGATGTAAACTTTATGGAGTAATTTTCTTCTATATAGTGGACCAGCATCCGTTCAGAAGAATCAGTTAAATATATAAAATTGATCAAAACAATGTGACAGGTATCCATAAACTGGATATTTTCTAGAAGATACCAGATATCAAGCATCAGATATTTTAATAGTTTACCAGTTAAGCCATCAGAAAATTTATCATACCACATAGACTTGGCATTTATTATACCCCTGGAACTAAATGGTTAAATCTTTTTTGATTAAAGGAACCTGTATGATTTCAGTTTAAAAGAAGATAAATTTTTTCCCCATGGCGGTTATTTTCACTTAGATTTGCTTTCCTTCCCTCGTCCACAAAGTATTGATACTGCCTGAAGTGTTTGGTCATAAAATAATCTTGTATGTCGAATATGGTGAAGTATTAGTGTAGTGTTTTCTCTGGTTCTCATGAGCAGTGTGTGCATATATGTATGTATATATAGCAGTACACACACATATACACACACACACACACAGTATTTTACATACAAACACAGAGCTCTTCCATTCCATAATAATTCCACTTTGAAGGACTTACGCTTGTATTGATTGGGAAAAGAACTTTGATAAGAATTCTCTGTGATAATAATTCTACTCACCCTTGAATCTAAAACAACTGTCCAATAGATACGTAATGTATATGATGTTGGCCGCATATGTAGTTTAAAATTCTGTAGTAGTACCACTAAAAAAGTAAAAAGAAACAGGTGAAATTAATTTTAATAATACATTTTATTTAACCCAATGTTTCCAAATATTATGATTTTAACATGTAATCAATACAGAATTTATTTCTGGGCTGTTTTACATTTTTTATATTAAGTTCAAAATCTGATTTTTTTTTACACTTAGAGTACGTCTCAATTTGTGCAAGCCGCATTTCAAGTGCTCAATAGCCACATGTAGCTTGTGGCTCTTGTATTGGACACACATGTCTAGAAATACAGTATGAGCAAATACATATGAACTCCACAAGTTTTCCACAAAAAATGTTTTATTTGGTTTTCTTCAAGAAGTTTATGTCTTTACTGATTCAGTATGTGCTGTTTTGTTTTTTTTTTTTTTTAAAGATTTTATTTTTTCCTTTTTCTCCCCAAAGCCCCCCGGTACATAGTTGTGTATTCTTCGTTGTGGGTTCCTCTAGTTGTGGCATGTGGGACGCTGCCTCAGTGTGGTCTGACTAGCAGTGCCATGTCCGCGCCCAGGATTCGAACCGACGAAACACTGGGCCGCCTGCAGCGGAGCGCGCGAACGTAACCACTCGGCCACGGGGCCAGCCCCGAGTATGTGCTGTTTTTAATAGCAGATTCCACAAATGAAATGGGCAGTTGCTCTCTGTTCCAAATACAGCATACCTTCAACATTACTCTTTGTTTCAAATCTCCTCACCTGTAAAATGGAGATAGAGTAGAAGCTCTCCTCTTGGGCATTACACGGATTGAAAGTGTTAATACGTATAAAGCACTTAGATAAGTACCTGGCATATTGTAAATATGCAATGAATGTTGGTTATTATTTCCTTCTCTCCTGATTCTTGACAGAAGTGCATATAATCAATGTCAGCAGGAGGAATGAAACTTGAGGGTTTGTAATGCCTAAAAACACCAGAATAATTAAAATATGTGTTAGGTGTAAGAATTTTTTGGACATATTTGAATTTGTGTGAGCATTAATAATTTTTGTAATCATTCTTAATTCTGTACCTAAAAAATGTTAATGTTATATGCTTTAATTCAAACAAAATATTTTAATAATACTGAATAAGATTTGTCTTAAAAGTGAATATTTATTGGATGCTTTTATTGTATAAGGCAGTCTACTGAGAGCTTTTATGTGAAGTATCTCCTTCAGTCCTTACCGTAATCCGAGTGTAGGGTAGTCTTACTAACCTCATTTAAAGGTGTGGAAACTGAAGCTCAGGAAAGCTCTGCCCAAGGTCAGAGCCCACTGCCTGTGGAGGTAAACAGGCAACAGCGGCATTGGCTGCGTGCCCACTGTGTGTGCATCGCTGTACTGAGCACCTAATTCTTATTAACTCATTTAATCCTTACATCAGCTGTATGAGGTAGGTGCTATTATAATCTCGATTCTGCAGATAATGTTGGAGTAAGAACCACGATAATAACGCTAGTTACAGTTTACACAGCACTTACTCCATCTGCAAGGTCTTGTTCTATGTATTTCAGGTATTGTGGATAATCCTCACGCACAGCAGCCCTGTGAGGTAGGTAGTATGATTATTCCCATTTTACAGATTAGGAAGTTGAGGCAGAATGGTTAAGCACTTGGCCCAAACTTACATAAGAAGGGTGTGGCAGAGCTGGAATGCAAACCCAGGGAGTCTGAGTCGAGTGTCCACACTCATAACACTTTGCTGCGTATCAGTTCAGTGCAATGATACAGATCTTTGAATGTTCATCCAAAAATCAGTGGCCCCTTAATTCAAACATCATTTCTGACATGTCCTAGTAAATTGTATCTTACAATTTATAGATTACATTAAGATGTGAAAGATAAACATGTTTCAGCTTTTAGGTCTTTGAAATGTGATAGACAATCTTACCTATATTATGAGTTATTGTGAAGCTCAACTTAGGTAATAAATGGGACTCTTGAAAAAGGTGAAATAAGTACAGATACAAAATGATATTTGAATGCTTAATCAGTGCCTATTTTTATTTCAAAGATTTTATACATATTTTGTGAATGTCTTTATATAGTGTAATGTTACTTTCTATGAAGTTTTAGAAAGGATTTTGTTTAGTATAAATAAAGCCAATTTAAAAAGAAATCTGTTTTCCTTTTTTATATGTCTTAGTCTCAATATTGTAGAAGCTTAATTATTGAATACATTTTTAGAGAGTGTCTCAAACTGGTAATCATTGTTAGAATGCTACATGAAACAGTAATCTTACTTTTCACCTACTCAGTATTTAATTAGTTCAAGTAAGAATAACATTTAAGCTGAGATTAAGAGGAATATCCTATTCCATTTAATATTGTCATTTTTTGTTACCCTTTGTGAATAAATACTTTATCTCTAAAAATGAAAGGGAAGACGACAGGAAAAAAACTATTTTCTTTCTGTTGAAAATGTATCATTAAAAGAAGTCGTCATTTTTATAGGCCCCATTAATGCTGGGCCGTGAACACTAACATCAGATCTGCTGATAAATAGTTAGTTGACCCTTGCTTTTTCCTTTTAGCAAACGATGCTTTTTAGGTGGACGTATTAATTAGCGGTTAAATGGTAATATCCGAATGTAGTGATTGGGGAAGAGCAGGAAGGAGGAGTAGCTCTCTCCTTTGGGACTGCAGGTCAGTTGTTGCAGTGGAGAAACAACTGTGATTATGAAAATACAGCCGCTGTAAACTTGCCGTGTCATTTATGTCATTCAGATGGGCACAGTGGACAGCTTACCTGCAGGAGTTTAGAGGAAATGATTTTGAATTTTCAGTTTGGTTAGATACGTTTTTGCTTTAAACGAGTAGTTCATGGTCGTATGCAATTTTTAAGTGTCAGTTTATACCTGATATAAATGCAAGTAGGATGACACCAGTGGATATATTTTACTAGAGAATTAATAGAATACTATTTTATGCAACACATTTTAAAAATTGATACAACTTTCCTAAAGTTTCATAAAATGTAAAATTTTAGTTTTTTGGAGTCTGTTCATTTCTCCCACTTTGATCATCCTGTGCAAAATCAGGCGTCTTTCTGTATTCACTTTCACAGGATTACGAGAAGGAAAGGAAAGCTGAGGAGGAGAGAGAGTTTTAGGGAACATTTATTATGTAAGGGGACTAGGAAAATCCTTTTCGGTATTTTAAATGAGCAAAATGGAGGCTGCAGATGTTTCCTTAATATCACTGAATTTAAATTCTTCAGATTGAATGTCTTCTATTACATCACCTTTTGTATACCAGAAGTATTAAAGCATTTTCATGATTCATGCTTATAGTATCTGGAATGATTTAAATATGTAAAATGTGATCTTTAGAAAAGATAACTGTGAACTTAAATTGCAAACAGAATTTAGCAGATTAAAAAAATTGTCAGTATTAATTAATATTAATCCCTCAATACATAAATGGTATGCTGTATATAAAACATTTAAATTGGTCTTACGGGATTTGTGAAAATGAAGTATATTCTAAATAGAATTAGGTGTCTGTTAGAGTTGTCATTTTAGTAATTAGTAAAATAATATAAAATGGTTATACTGGGTAATGGTTTGCTAATATAAGTATCTATTTAACTTAGCAAAAATTCACTCTTGTGGTTCTGAGAGATTGCAGGTTAGACTATTAACCATATACTTTTCTGTCTAAAAAGTAAGTAGCAAGCAGGATTTCAAAATTTGTTGCTGTTAAACAGAACAATAAAGACATAGCAGTAAGATGAAAAAAATGACAGTCTATTTTTAAACAGAAAAAGGCTAGAATTCTTCATTATTAGATATACAGTATCAACATAATCGATCCAGCAATGTTGTATTTGAGCTGAAAATACACTTAAATTTGAGGCCACACACTACCCTGTGTGAGCGAAACATCTTTCATATAGTTCTAGGATGAAATTACCCTTGAATGAATAGCATCTTCATTTATCTTCAAACATCTTCTGTGCTTTTAGCAAATCTACTCTTTCAACATTTTACAGCAAGAATTACATTATACCAGAGTCCTTCTGCAGCGTGAAATAGATTGGTTTGGAAAATGAACCTGGCTTTGCTATAAATTACATTCCCAGGTACAAAGAAATTTGTTATTTTGTTTAAAATAGTCACAAATATAATTAAGGTCTTAATTTATGTTAAACTACAAATATGGCTATTACTTTAACTGGATTAGGAGCTTAATCTGTCACTTCAAGAATGATACCTAACACTTTTCATTTGTAACCTTAGGTACATTATTTCAATTACAGGGTCTGCAGCTGTTTGATATAAAAAATGAATTATTTTGTAGATAGATTTGTTCATAGTTTTTAATTTTAAAACCTGCCTTTTCAGTAAGGTGGAAAATAATTCTTCGGTTGTTGTCACAGATTTTCCTTTGTGTCCTGGTAAAACAAGATATGGAATTAAAATTCAGAACCATTTTCATTTCATGCCCTGAAAATGGCATTGCATGCTTTAGAATATTCCTTAGTGAATTCTTACATAAAATATTTCAGATTTAATTATGAAATGAAAAGAAGCTTTGTCCTACAGAAGCAAACCTGAGGTCTCCTAAGGATAGCTTTACCTGGTTGGACTGAAAATGGATGATTCCCTGTCTAGAATTTGGATACCTTTGTTAATGTGATTTACATAGATTTAGAAGCTATGTTTATAATCCTTTAGATTCCACTATATTAATCAGTATAAAACACCTAATCTTTTAAAAACTTAAGTACAATTCTTAAAAATTTTGAGTTATTTTTATATTTTTATTGGCAAGCAGTGTTGATTTTATTGCTTAAGTGCAATTAAAGAGTACTGTTATGGGGCTGGCCTGGTGGTGCAGCAGTTAAGTTTGCATGCTTTGGTGGCCCGGGGTTCACCAGTTTGGATCCCAAGTGCGGACCTACACACCGCTTGTTAAGCCATGCTTTCGCAGGCATCCCACATATAAAGTAGAGGAAGATGGACGCAGGTGTTAGGTCAGGGCCAGACTTTCTCAGCAAAAAAGAGGAGAATTGGCAGCAGATGTTAGCTCAGGGCTAATCTTCCTCAAAAAAAAAAAAGTATTGTTATGTATTTAACTTGTAAGTCAAGTTAATGTTCATTTTGTTTTTGGAATAAAGAAGAGGAAAGAAGATAGTTGGTGCTGCTCATTGGTTAACGATTCAATATTGTGTTACCATTAGTTTATTAAAATGAAATAAATATATGTTATATCCCTGCCATCTACTATTTAGCTTATCCCAAGAATTTTAAATTTGGTGGAGTTTTTTTTTGCTTGTTTGTTTGCTATTGTTATTTGTCTCAGTTGAGAATATTTATTTTATCTATAAATAACAAAATTTTAAAGCGTTTATCATAGGAGCTCAGAAAAAAAGTAGTTCCCTTTCTTTACTCCCAAATTGTTCATTGAGTGCCAACTGTGTGACTGGTATTGCATTAGGTTCTTGGGTTACAAGAATTATTCTTACTGCACCTTCGACTATTTTATAACTCTTTTGCTTAATTTGGACCCTACAACTTATTTTTATTTATATTTAATTCTCACAGGAAAAGATTGTTTCTTTTCCTGTACTGGTTATCTTTCTTGTTGCTTTCTTTTTGAACTTGATTTTTTTGTACAGCTGTCAGATGTTGATGTATCTAAAATTGAGTCAAACATTCCAAGAGTAGTATTCAGGTGAGAGTTGTATTAAGTAAGGAAGGTCCTCTTCTCTGATGGGATCTCTCTTCATATGTACTCTTAATAGCATTTCGTATTTTTGGTAACAAATTTGCTCTATTTAAAGCTGTTTATGCTTACTGAATTTTGGTTTCTGATGACTTCTGCATAGCTAATTTTTTTTAAGTTGAATTCCTGTACTGTTTTGTAAAAAGTTATCTGCTTATTGGTATTTGTAACTTTATTGATTTTTGAAAAGACCTCCGAATTTTACAGGAGTTGCATCCAACTTTTTAAAACAGTGAGCTTTGGGCCCATAAAATAACAGAATGCTAATCTTTTTTGTTGCTTACTGGTTTTCTATGAATTTAGGTATATTGAGTGTTTATTATTATGAATATCTGTAGCTTATTCATTAAGCAGATTATTGAGAATCTGTTGTATGCCAAGGATAACGTAGTGGACAAGATAGAACATGGTCAGTGTGTACTAATGGAGCTTATGTTATGGGGGGCAGGCCTTTTTTCATTTCATTTATCATTTTCATCAGTGTGTGTGACTTTGAAGAATTATTCATGAAGTAGACGTTTATGTCAATATGAAGATATCTTTATTCACTTGTTAGAAAAGATTTTATATGAGATATTGTACTGAAAACATAGGAACCGTATATTTAGTCTTTACATTGTTATTCTTTAAAAAAGTGCTTTTGATTATGGTCTCTTATTTATCCTTTTACTATCTGGAGATTTTTTATCACAGTCTACAATTTTATAAAGAAATATAAATTATAGTATATAATTATTATTTACCTTTTTCTCTTAAGGAGGTGTTAAAAGGTAATAAAATAAGTGAAGTCAGCTTTCTTTTGAAGTTACTAAGGTTAAATAGTCTTTCTTTGCGGATGAATAAATGAGTATTTATTATTACTACTAATTTTAATAACACCTTATATTTATTCAACTGCTATGTATCAGATGGTGTATAAAGTGTTTTACATACAGTACCTCAATTAATCTGCCTAATAAATAGGTTTCATTTTAGAAATGAGAAAGCTTATGAGATAAAGGAACTTTTCTCAAGCTAATGCAGTCCAGCCATCGAGATTCCACTTGGAGACGTCTCCTAGGAGGCTTCTGCTCTATTAACTCCTTACTGTTCTAAACTGGCTCTTAAGAATGAGGTGGAGGATTCTCATTTTTTGAAAGACACTTCAGTTTTCCACTTAAATAACTTGTTTCTTAAATCTGTACTCTGTTAGGATCCATTAGGTTCTGCTAGGGCACTTTACCAGTGACAGTTAAGGAGTGGGAATGTGCTAATGGTTGCCCATTATCCTGCAGGATAATCAGGTAAGGGAACAGAGTGGTACGGCTTATGATTCAGCAACATTCAGTCATATTACTCTAAATCATAGTAAGGACAGCATCTCAGTGAGCCAGCATCCTTCCAGTGCATGTAGTGACTAGGGCTGGCCTGTTGTTGGCTGGCTGTGTTTCCGTTCAACCAGAGTTGATTTTCACCTTTTCTGAACTGAGCATTTTTTTATTACTTTTTTTTTAAAGTATAGTGCAATTAAAACAAAGGATATATGATCTTTTAAGGTTTTTAACGTTGTAGATTCTATTCTCTTACTCCTGTCAGGAACCATCATATTTATTGTTTTCTGTAAAAGAAATGGATGACTTTTTGGCTTTAAATTTAATTTCACTGATCTCCCCCCCCCCTCCACATTTCTTTCTGGAATATTGTTAGTTTATTTCTCTGGGAATAATGACTTGAAGAAACTAGATACGCATAGTATTTGAGATATTTTGTTTTGTTTGATTTGCTTATTAATGTTATTCTGCTTTCCTACTTATATTAATTATAAGACTTGCATGCTTATTTTAAATCTCCTCAATATTAGGTCATAGTTGCTGAGATTTTAAATGACTCTTGCTGACAGTAGCTCCTTCCTGTGTTACTTCTCAGTAAATATTTCAGAAGATAGTACTGCTCTTATTAGATGACTTCTTAGCTTCTTAAAGCTTCTTACTTAACCAGGTAGTTAAATTGACTTTTCACTTTTTAAACTTGGTAATCTGTTAATGCAGGGGATAGAAACTACCAAAGATAAAAACTGTCCTTGATTGTGTTTTTATTCTGTATAATATCTGTAGCTTTACCCTTTTCTTCACGCCTTGATATTACTTACCTGCAGGAAAGTGTTGACAAAGATTATATTGATTTGTAGGTACTTCTGTCACCTGTGTCCACAAGAGATGGCATGGCCTTCATGCTTGGGCTTCTCAAGGTTTCAATAGAACCTGCTTATCTGATTTCAAAGCATATAGTTGTACCTTAGCAACTCTAGGCCTTTGAAAAGAGCAGAGTTGTCTGCTTTTCATTTCCTGTCAGAAGTCTAAGAGAGAAGTGATAATTAGAGAAGATCATCTAAAGACTCCTGAGTCCCCTCCTCCCACCAAAATGTGATCATTCCACAGTTTTTCCTATTTTGATAAATGACAATTCCATCTTTCTAGTTGTTTATGTCAGAAACTTTGTCATCTGTGGAGTCCTCTCTTTTTCTTATATCCACATCCAGTTATCAGCAAATCCTTTTGGTCCTACCTTAAAAATATAGCCAGAATCTGACTTCTTACCACCTCCAGCACTCCCACTGGTCCAAGCTTTTATCATTTCTTGCCTGAATTATTGTAAAAATCCTCCTAACTAGTTCTCCTGCTTCCACCCTTCTGCTCTTTACCATCTAATCTCTATATGTAATCCTTTATAATAAAAAATCCTGTTTGTAATCCTTTAAAATGTCAGTCAGATTCCAGTAATCCGCAGCTCAAGACCTCCTAATGACTGTTCATCTCACTTAAAGGAAAAGCCCAAATCCTTAGAATTATCTGTAAGTCCTACATGATCTCTTGGTTGTTTCTCTGATCTCATCTCTTACCAGTCACTTCCTTACTTCCCCATCATCACACTAGTCTTGTTGCTGTTCCTCAACACCCCGGTTGAAACGCAAGTCTGCTTCATGCCTTTGAACTTGGACTGCTTTTCTCTTAGATATTTCCATGGCTTGCTCCCGAACTTTCTTCAGGTTAATGCTCAGATGTTACCTTATTGATGAGGGCTTATCTGACCACTCTACATACAATAGCAATACCTTCGTCCTGCTTTGTATTTGTAAGTAGCTGGAATCACCATCATATTTTCTGGTTTATTTCCTTACCATCTGTCTCCGTTAGACTGTGAACTCCATGAAATCTGAGACTTTATGTTCACCTGCTCTATTCCCAGTGCCTAGAAAAGTCCCTGATATGTACTAGGTACTCAATAAGTATATATTGAGTGTGTGAATGAATGAATAAGTGGTTTCTCTTCATTCTTCTAGATATTCAAAATCATATCCTCCTATCAAGTTAGTTCATAGGAAGCTATGCATTGAACCAAATAAATTAGCCTTTTGCAGGCCTTATAGAGCTATGTTTTAATGTTTTGCTTTAGGCCTTTAGAAGAGAAATCACATAGAAAGCAATTCTGCGTTTGTTGTGTATTGTCTCGTGTCATTCAGTAGCTCTTATAGAAGATTCCAGAGGAGAAACGTCTTTTGGAATTTAGTATGAGAACTTCAGTTGAGGAGCAGCCCCATTCTTTTTTGAAGGCTACAGATATTCCATTGATAGATTTACCAGTTTATTGAGCCACTCTTTTACTGATGGATATTAGGCTATTATAATTATTTTGCTACTATAAATAGGGCTTAGTGTGAATATCCTTACATATATCTTATATAATTTTATGCACACATGTCCATATGATGTATTTCTAGCAATGCTATTGCTGGGTCAAAGGATATGTACATTTGGAATTTTGGGAGATGTTGCCAAAGTGCCCTTCCAAGAGATTGCGTTGATTTATACCTAATCATTGGTAGAGTAGAAATTTTGTGTTCTGAATTTTGACTAAGCACCCTTTTTTCCTATGTTTTTATTATCAGAAGTTTCTGTTGCTTCATTAAGAAACCCCGTGGCCAGTGGTTGAGTTCGTGAGCTCTGCTTCAGCGGCCAGGGTTTCACCAGTTTGAGTCCTGGGTGCGGACATGGCACCGCTCATCAAGCCCTGCTGAGGCGGCATCCCACATGCCACAAATAGAAGGACCCACAACTAAAAATACCCAGCTATGTACCGGGGGACTTTGGGAGAAAAAGGAAAAAATAAAATCTTAAAAAAAAAAAATTCACTGGAACTAGAAGATTTACTGAGCTTTAGATTTCTGTACCCTTTATTTTGTGATTTGATGCATTGTTCAAATTTTCATATGTTTGTTCATTCATTCATTGAGCTGATAACCATTATCTGCTAGTTATGTACCAGTCACATGACTTGGAATTATACAGTAAAAGCTGGTTTTAAAGACAGAGGAAACCATGAGAAGCAAGAGGAATCAGAAGCCTTGCCACCATGATGCTGAAGGATTGCTGTAGTAGGATCCCTGTCTGAAGCATTCCTGATACTCTGTTACCTGCAGCATTTGAAAGGTTTTCTCCAACATTTAAAAGCCTCTAGTTTTATAATCTAATCAAACAGTGGCATTGTTGTCTACAATAACAACTTCTGAATCTAGTATTGAAGATATTTGTAAGGGTTGAATTGATTGGTAACAGATTGTCCTTGTTTCTTTAGACTCCTGGCCTTACTTTCAATTACGTGTAAATGAAATATATTTTATTTCTCAAAACCAATTTTTACAAAAACTCTGAGCTGTAGTTCCCTGAAGATATGATTCAGAAGTAATTCGTGAAGAAATAGAATTTAGAATCTTCATGGAGTATCACAGGTGTCACTCCTAGGACTGTTTCTAGAATTTCTCTGATTTAAAAGTTCTCAATGAATGTGATTTCTAAAGAATTTAGTCAAGAAAAGTGGATAATCCTTTTATATTTACTTTTTCCTTTCTCATAATAGCAATTGGTGACATACTATATATGCTTTTTAGCTTGGAGTTAGGAACTTTAGAGTCAAATATGCTACTCCTATTAATGGACATTTGAGTTGTTCCCAATGTTTGATTATTATGGATCAAGCTGCCATGAACATTCTTGTTTGTACCTGTATGTTAGTGACCATATGCCTCTTTTCTTTTTGGCATATTTCTGGGAGTGGAATTGTTGGCTAATAGGGTAGGCATATGCTCAGCACTAGATATTACCATTTTCAAAGTGTCTGGATCAATTTACACTCCCACCAGCAATATGTGAGAGACTTGTCACAAAAAGAAAACTAGTCTACTGTCCCGTCCTTACCCCACCCCAAATCCTGATACTCAGAGACAGCCACTTTCAGTCCCTTTAACTATATTATTTTCCTACGTATTTACCTTAATATTTTTAAGTAAGATGCTCGTGTTGCTCTTTTTTAAAAATTTTAGATGTATCTATGGAATATATTGATGTATTGACTAGATCTATTGAATACACTATGAAATTTCACCTGTTACAGCTCTCCTCCTTCTTGCGTTCCCCATCTTCCCAATAGTTCTCTCATTTTTTTGTTTAAATTAATAATCAGTGTTTAGATTATAATTAGAATGTAAATATTACTCTCAGCTAAGTGGCTCAGTGTTCTATGAACATATTCTTTCTATATGATTTTTTCCCCTCAGGTAAGTAATTATTTTATTGGATTCATTTGGGTAGTTTTCTCCCCTAAACTCTTTGACCAAATTGTACAACTCCCCCTCACAGTGGTTGAACATTCCAGGTCCTTTTTTTTCTTTTCTTGAGGAAATACTACCTTTGAAACTCGGTTCCTTTGACTTTCATTGGAGCAGTTTCTTTCTTGGCTGGCTTCAGAGCTGTTTTCTTAGGAATGCCTGCTGTTCATGATCATCCAGGGAATTCTTTTTGCTTTTCATCTTTGTTGGACCCCGTACTTTCTGAGTCCCATGTTCTTTTTGTCTTAGTATATTATTTTTTAATTTTGTGCAGCGTATTCTTCATTAGCTTCCTGAGAAAGGGTACATAGGAGATCAAATTTGAAAGACCTTGCTTGTGTGATGCTGTTTTTATTCTGTCTTCACACTTGAGTGATGCCTTGGCCATGTGTAGAATTTTAGGTTGGCAAGATTTTTCCTTAGAATTTTAAAAGCCCTTGAAAGGGCCTGTGTTATTGTCTAGCTTTTGGTGTTGCTGTGGAGACATTCAGTATCATGTCTTTGCTCAGTTCTTTGTATGAGTTAATGCTTTTCATTTTTCTTTCTTCCTTTTCTTTCTCTTTCTTTTTCCCTCTCCCCCTCCCTTTCCTATATGTCTAGAGTAGATTACTTAGCCTCTCTGTACCTCTGTTTTCTCATCTTAAAATAGGGTTATTTGTTGTATCTCCCTCATAGGGTAAAGTCCTTATGTGAGTACCTGGTGTACAGTAAGTGTTTAATAAATATTAGCCATTATAATGTTCTTTGAAGTTGTCTTCTGCTCTCTGTGTTTTCTGTTTCTTCTCGGTTCCTTTTTGGTGGTTTGTTTTGGCTCTATGTTTTATGTTTGAGGCTTTCCTCAAATGTCTTCTGCTCTCTGCTAATAATTTGTATGTAAGAGTGAGGCACTAAAAAGCTGATGGGGAGATGAGGGGCTTTTTAACATGTGGGCTTCACTGTGGACTGATTGCATAGTGAGCTGCCATTTTTGTTGACCACTATCCTACTCCCCTCCTCCAGTAAAACCCGTCAGTATTTGGAGGTCTTTTCTACAGAGAGATATCATGGAAGGACTTAATTTTGACTGCCAAGGTTTGGAAGCTGAGAGGGAGAGGGGTGCTGTGGGTCTTTTTAGTCAGTGTGTATAGCTTCTCTTCCTTTCCTCAGTGTGAAACCCGGCCCTCCCCCTCCCCCCCAAAACTCTGTTGTATTTGGGTCTTGAGTCAGGAGTCTCTCTGTCAGGGTTTCTCCAGAGAGTGAACCTCGTTTTCTGCTAGTTAGGGGTGGGCTAGTTGTCTGATGCTTATGCAGACTTTCATCCAGTCCTCCTGTTTTTGGTCCTTTACCTGACCTCTGCCTTCTGTGATGCTTGGTGCCTCTAGTTTTGGAATCTTCCTAGTTTCTGTGATGCAACTGTATTGATTTTCTCCTCTACGTGCTCTCAGGTTTCAGTTTCCTCTGCCTTGCTAAGTCTGCTTTCCATCTTACAAAAGTGAGTTGACATCTCTGGTCTGCTTTGGTCTCCTCTCCCATTTTGTATCTTTCTGGGTTTATAAGTTTCCTGATTCTTCTCTGTTATTTCGTAGATTTTTTGAGAGGTTGCAGAGATAAATGTGTAAGTTCAATCCTTCATGTTTAGCCAGTTATTGATGATCTGGTAATACTTTTTTCCCTCAAGTTTTTTTTTAGGAAATAAAAAATATACTGACATCATACCCCTTTAATGAATTTTTTTGACATTAAGAATTTGATTAATTTATTCAATATGTTGTCTACAGCAACATCTTAAATTTCATGGTTTTAAAAGTCAGGTACTGGGTATAACGTTCTGTGTGCATATGTGTGTGTGTGTTTAAACATTCCCTACCATGTCATGTGCTTAGGTGGTCAGTACATTTATATTCAAAGAATGAATATATTTATTGGCTGTAGTTTTAATTTATTCATTCTTTAGTTCTTAGTTTTCACTAACCGTTGAGCAATTGGAGTTGCTCAGCAAGTGAGTAAACCCTATATTAGTTCTTTCTGAAATTGAAAATATTACAGTGCTTAATGTATCACTGTCATCAAAAGTTGATTGATCACTTTCAGGGTTGTAGACACTGTACTATTATGCAGATTGTTTTTATAATATTTAGCCTAATCACTTTCAGGTGATGTCAGCCTCTCTTGCTAAGATGTCTTTTATGCACTGATTACCACTGTTATAGACCCACGCTGTCCAATAGAACTTTCTGAGATGATGTAAATGTTCTGTTTACATCAGCTACTTGTGGCTGTTGAGCACTTAAAATGTGGCTAGTGTGACTGGGGAACTGAATTTAAAATTTTATTCAACTTTAATTAATTTAAATTTAAGTTAAGTAGCCACAGATGAGTAGTGGCTACTATATTGGACAGCACAGTTATAAATCGTTATTCTGATAGGATGTGCCAAGTTTTTGATTCGAGTTAATTTATGTTGTCAACCACTTGAATTAGTTTGGAATAAAGTATCCAACTGAAGAATAGGACTTGGGCAAGTTATCCTAAATTTCATCATTATAATTAAAATTATATATTTTTTGGATTTACACAAGAATTAAAACATGCGGATAGCTAAGTCAGAATTGAAAATAAAATGTGTTTTAGGTTGGTTTATCAAGCATGTTTTATTTGGAGTGTTTAGGGTGCTTGATAACAGACTGAAGATGAAAATGAGAGGTGAAAGTATTGTTTTGGAACCTCTCAGAGATTTTCCTCCATCCTACAAGAAGGGAGAACTGCTGTTTAAATCAAAGCCTGGTTTGGCTTTAGAGTTTTTATGTTCTTGAAGAAGATAGTCATGGGAGTGTTTTGTTTTGCATTTTTAGTGTTTCCATGAAAGTATTGTGTTTGTGACATCAGTATTCTTTGTGAACTACAGATTAATTCAGGAAATTTCTTTTGAATCAGGGATGAAAAGTACTTATAGTAAATGCTGTAAAATCTCTGGCTAACCAAAGTTATGTCATCAGTTGAGGCCTGTGGTAAGTTGAGTATTGCTAAATTGGTCAAAATTGTCAGTTACTTTTAGTAAAGAAGTGAAAAATTCACGGGACAGGAAGCATGGCTTTGATTGCAGAACATTACAATTTTGCTTATATCTTTTCTAGTGAAATACAGCTTTTTGGAATATTCGTTAGTACAGTAACCACTCTACATGTAGTTAAGCAAAATGTACAGTGTTTACTATTTTATGTAGTATTATGATTGTTAACTGACAACAATATTATTCAGACCTTTGAGAAGTTAAGCAGTTCTTTCAAATCCTTTTTGTTCTTCTGAAGACCTCAATTCCCTCTTAGTCCCTCATTCTCAGCAGATGATTTCTTGACCCCTTTCACAGAATGTGAGTGCTTCTTCATTTTCTTGTTCTTTTCAAGTTTATCACCTTGTAGTCATCATCACTGATTCTGACCGCTCTTGTATTATAGTGGAGAAAGTGTCCTGTTTCCTGACAAAAAGAGAACCCTCTGCCTGTGCTCTTCTCCCATCCCTTTTTATCTTCTCATGGATCTTGGATGTCAGTTATTCTGCCAGTTTTCTTGTCTTGTCATGTTAGCCTATTTCCACTGCTTTTTTTTCTATTTATGTTTTTACGAGCTCAACTTTTCTCCATCATTGGAGATACTACATAGGTATCTATGTAGTAGAAGGGAGTTTATTTTTCTAACCCCTTCTTTCTTCTTCTCGTTCAGTCTTCTTGAAAGAGCTGTTTATATTTATTCTCTCTAATTCTTCCCTTCCTAGCAAACTGTGTTTAACAAGCCTTCCGCGTGATGTTGCTACATGCTGCGGTTGGAGAACTGCTACCGCAGTCTATACTGATGGGCCAGTCAGAAAGCTCGCTGTTGTCGCTGTGATTGGGAGTACAGCTTAGAGTATTTAGAGGACTGTTAGCGTGCACTTCATAGACACACAGGAGTCAGCTTGTGGTTGGGTCAGGTGGTGTTTAAACGTAGAAACAGTAATTGGCGGTGAATTAGTTAGGATTAGGTTTGACTGTGAGTGACAGAAAACCCGAAATAGCAGTGGCTTAAAAAGGTAGAAGTTTGTTTCTTTTTCTTATAAACACAGGTAATCGAGGTTTGGTGACTACATAATTATCAAAGACCTAGGCTCCGTTACTCTTGTTGCTCTACCATCTCTAACACTCTAAGAGAGATGATGATCCTGTAAAGAGTAGTGGAATTAAGCAATAGCTTATAAAATGTGGACTTTAGTCACTGGTAAAGAAAATGAAAGCAATGTACATAAACTAATATGGTAAAATAAATGTGGATAGTTTACATTTCCTTCCTTAAATGTGTATAAATGCTTTAAGTTTCATACATTTACTGGCGTCTGAGTCATACTGATTTTTTAGTAGTGAAATGACATTTTACTTTTGTTTGCAATGCAAATCTTTCACTTTAAATTGATTGATTCTTTTCCAATAAATTGTTACTATATGAGCTCTTAAGTTTAGAAAAGAAACAAAAAGTTGTGTTCAACTAGGCATATACTTTCACTAGGCTTATTATACTTCTCTTGATTTACAGGCCTTTTTGCAAATGTGTAATCTGCCTATCAAAGTGGTTTGTAGGGCAAATGCAGAATATATGTCTCCATCTGGTAAGTGTTTTTTTTTTCCCTTCTCTGTTAATATTCTGCATTGATAAAATTGCAGTGATAGTCCAGTTTGTACTTAGATTTTTAAAATGCATTTTTTAAAAATTTACCCTTTGAGGAATTTTCCCATGGTTTTATAAAGTAACAGTTGCAAACTTGACAGTCGTGGCTTGGGCATGTCTGCTCATTTCAACTTGGTAGTCAGAGATGGTTACTGGAAAGTTATGGAAATTGTTTTAAATAGTAAATATTAAGAAAATAGATAATCTCAGACTTCCCCAGTCTTATTTACAAGCAACTGTTTCCTCTTTAGAAAACAAATTTTAGTGTTAATGGATCCATTCATTATTAAACACACTTCTCTAAATTATATTCTCCCATTATACAGATGGAAGAAGAGAGATTGTGGAATAATTAAATTAACTTGTCATAGGCCTTAAAGTCATCTCTCGATGTTTTTGGTTTCTAATTCTTTCTTTTTTATTTTAATAGGTTTTAAGACACTTTTTATTAAGATTTTAGCCTTCTGCTATTTTTATAATCAGTATTACCTTTTCTGTGTGTCTTGTATTAGTAGATTAAAGTATAGTTTTAAACAAATATGATTCAGGTAATTTTTTTTTCTGAGGAAGAGTCACCCTGAGCTAACATCTGTTGCTGGTCTTCCTCTTTTTTTTGCTTGAGGAAGATTAGTCCTGAGCTAACATCTGTGCCAGTCTTCCTCTTTTTATATGTGGGTCACCACCACAGCATGGCTGATGAGTGGTGTAGGTCCTTGCCCAGGATCTGAACCTATGAACCCAGGCTCTGAAGCAGAGCTTGCCAAACTTAACCACTATGCCACAGGGCCAGCCCCCAGATAATTTTTAATATAAAAATATAGTGCTACAAAGCTGATAAATAAATGTTAAATAGAATTGGTATGGATTATAACTGTGGTTTTGTTGAAGCAATAGTAACACATAGAATAACTCCTTTATCAATGAGTAAATCCATTGACTTTCACTGATTAGCATAAGTGTGTTACATTCCTTTTTAGGGAGACATTCATCTCTCTTCATTGTAATGATAACTTAGGAATGATTTGTGTTAAACATTTTTTCATCTTAAGTTCTTAAGGGTGATAATCATCAAATCTGTGAAGACACTCTCTTCGTACACACTGAAAGGTCTATATGAATGTATCTACATTTATAAGTTTATGAATATACATTTAAAAACATTTCCATAAGGGAATTTCTAGACTTATAAACATAGACATATCTTAGATTCTTAAAGGCACTTAATTGACTCATTTTGTGTTAATTTTATGCTTAGGTTTTATAAACTTTACTGAATTCTGGTGAAATGAATTATATTGGATTCTGTCCATCTTTTTCCTCTATCTAGTCATATAAAAAGAGTGTGGATATACATATAAAAGGGTTGGTAGTCTAATACTAAAGTTAATATCTTTGGCAAATGAGAGGAAGCCATATAGTTGATCCACTCATTTCCTAAAATGACTGTATTATACTTAGTATCACCTAGGTAGATACATATCTCCTTTTTATAAGCTCTGTGAAAGACAAACAGATAAATATTATAGAGACTACAATACATACATACATTCATAGGAGGAGTCTCCTATAGGTAGATGAAAATGGCATTTTCTGTTAAGATATTTAAATTACATCATATCTCTAGTTATTATTCTCTTTCATCATATGATTTGGGGTAATCAGGGCAGTGTGTTTTATTTTATTTGCCTGATGAACTTGTTGTGGTAGAGTTGTTTTTTGTTCTTGTTTTTTTTTTTTTGAGGAAGATTAGCCCTGAGCTAACTGCTGCCAGTCCTCCTCTTTTTGCTGAGGAAGCCTGGCCCTGAGCTAACATCCATGCCCATCTTCCTCTACTTTATATGTGGGACACCTACCACATCATGGTGTGCCAAGCGGTGCCATGTCCGCACCCGGGATCCGAACCCGTGAACCCCAGGCCACCGAGAAGTGGAGCATGTGAACTTAACTGCTGTGCCACCAGGCCGGGCCCTGTGGTAGATTTTCTCAAAGCAGAGAGCATCATGGAATAGTCAGAAGACTGCTTGGGTAACTAAGAGTTAGGAAATTTTTACTCTAATCCTTCTGTAACTTTGTCACATATTAACATTTCTGTGGGAAATTTTACTTCTCTTCTTTGAGCCCCTGTGACTTCATCTGTAATATTTGAAGTAGTTGCATTAGATGGCATCCAAGGTCCTTTCTATTTCTAATATCTTCTGAAACTACAAACTTACTTGGCAATATCTTCTTGCTTTCTTTAGAAATAAAAGTTTTAAAAGTGATTATTCTGCCTAAAATGAGAAACAGGGCCCTCAGTTTTTTTGTTTGACCTTTGACTGGTGCTGGAAAATACCTGTGTCACCGTGCTCCTCCCTGGTACCTGCAATAATAAGGATATATAACATTGGCTCCTCCTTTAAGCCAGGCTAGTCACAGAAAACATTATTCACTTCTAATTTCTTGCCTTGATTTTTATGTATCTCTTTATATTTATAGAGATATGGATACTCACTTGACTACCCACACTGCTTCCCTGTTTCAGAATCTACAGTATTTTTAAGAAAAGAAATAAAATGCAAACTCTTTCTTCCACGAACTCCAAATTGGATATTGAAAATGAGAAATATACTTTGCTCTCCAAAGTCACACCGTAAAAATCCCCTTTAGTCTAGACATTCATTCACAAATAGTTGTCATTCTCAGATCGTTTTATCTCAGAGGACCTGCACTATTTCTAGCAGCATAGTAGTTAGAAGGATTTTATCCCAAGTTAAAACAATATGACCTAGTGCTTATCCAGATAGGAAATTCTTTTCTTTTTACAAGATTGTTATAAAGCAGCGGAAGAAAGGAATGCAGAATTCAGTGGTTTTATATTGGTTACACGGAAATGTCTTCTAAATACGTCTATTGATTGTTGTCTTCCAAAAAGCCTGCCTTTCCTTTGTCATGTGTGTTATCCCGTGGATGCAGATGAGGCTTTTGGTGGTGTTCTGCAACTCATCCATTACCCTCAGGCTTGACTGAGCTGGAGAGGAGGAAATCTATTGAAAAGGACCCTGAGGAAGCCTGCTGTTAGTGTGAACTCTGTTTGAACTAGGTCTGACGGCAGGTTTCACCTTGTAGCTTTTGGGGTAAACTTTATTGCTATTTGGAGACTGTTCTGTTCTCATCATTTCTGAGAATTTCATTAACTATTAGTATTTATAAAAATGAAATAATTACCTTTTTAATGTGACATTCATTTAGAGAAGCCAGTTTTTATAAGCATAGTACTTTTGCTTCTCTTTTCCCATGTGTGTTAATGAATATACTGTGTATTATAATTCATAAAGTAGCATACCTTCAAAGATTGTTAATTCTCTTAATTCCTGATATTTTTGAGTCACAGACATTTATTAGTGCACCATTATGTGCTTAAAATATTGACCTTAATGGGTATCTGAGATGTAAAAGTAGAAGATGTAAAAAGAAATCTTCTTAAATGTAGTTTAAAATATGGATTGAGTCATTGTACTCTGAAGAGAAAACCCAGTTAACTGTCTTTGAAATTTATTGGTGGTCATGAAACAATGTCCAGGCGTGGCTCATGTGATTTGAATAATTAGCATTTACTGCTGTACTAATTACTGATTTGTTAGTGTTAGCTCTGAAAAGGGAATATTGTGATCTGTTATTATATACAAATGAGAACTCTAGAAATGAATCTCCTTATTCTTTTTTCTTTTGTTTTAAAATTAGTTGGCATTCAGTGTTTAAAAATTTGTAGAATTTAGCATACACATTTAACTATAATTTTCAAAAGTTATAGTTTTATGAAATCTGCGTATTAATAAAACTTATCCCAGTTTTGTGTTAATTTCTTATTAGCACAAACTTTAATTTACTGAAAGTGTTTTCATGTTTTCTTTTCTCAACAGGTAAAGTACCTTTTATTCATGTAGGAAATCAAGTAGTATCAGAACTTGGTCCAATAGTCCAATTCGTTAAAGCCAAGGTAATAAAAAAGATATTAAATGCATTTGATCACAGTTACTCTTAAAGTCATTCATCATTCTTTAGTATCTTACATTTACATTGATTTTAACCTAGTCTTATAAAATACCAATATAGACTACTGGAGAAATCTGTCTAAAGTGTGAGTTTTTTTTTTTCATAATGTAAATCAACGGCAGAAGAGGTAATTTGATCTTTACAAGATGGTAGATAATTTTCTAACTTATGCTTATGAGAATTTTGGTCATAAATGAAAACTGTAGGTTATTATGAAATGTCAGGTTAATCTTTGAGAAGGGAGATACAGGATATGTTTAGAAGTTAAATGTACTAATTTATTTTAATTATTGAGTTTAGATTTTAATAGTTAACAAAGGACAACCCCTATTAACATTTTGGGGAACATCCTTCCAGACTTTTCTCTTTGCATATATAGAAAAATATAAATCATACTATTATGTATTATTTTGCAACCTGCCTTGTAAAATCATCAATAGATTTGGGAATTCTTCCGTGTTAACGTCTCTAGATACATAGATATACATTATCCTTTTAAATTGTTACACATTCATGCATTGCTTAAATACGGGGATATATTCTGAGAAACATGTTGTTAGGCGATTTTCTTGTTGTTCGAACATCGTAGAGTATACTGAAGGGGAACAAAATTTGCCACCCCAAAATGTGTCTCTTCAACATGAGGATTAATTTAGGCTGATTATTTTTAAGAAATGATAGACTCAGAAAGTTTTTTGTGTTACCTCCCCTTAACTGCCTAAAAGAATTCAGATAACAAAACCTGTTTCAGGAAGCGAGCTATCGCCTTAGCATAACATGAACTAGGTTGTAGAAGCTCAAAAAGCCTGCTTGTTGGACTCCCCTCTGTATTCTTCTGTTTCTCTGTGGCCAAACACTTGTTTTCCTAATGTTTGTTCCTTTTCACCTACCTGTGAATTCCCTTCTTTTCTTTTGATGTCTCTAACTCTCCATACCCCCAGCGTCTTCGTTTGTCTTTAGCTTAGGATGGTATTTAAGGTGAGGGCTTCTGCCATTTTGGCAGTTACTCGGTTTTCCTGGGTTTCTCCCATGTATGCGTATTTTTTAACTTTTGTGTGTTTTTCTGCTGTTTATCTATCTCACATCAGTTTAATTCTTAGCCCAGCCGGGCGAACCTAGAAGGGTAGAGGAAAATTTCTTTCTCCCCCACAGTACTTACACAAACCTGGATGGTATAGCCTACTATACACCTAGGCTATATGGTACTAACCTTATGGGACTACTGTTGCATATGTGGTCCATTGTTGACCAAAACGTCATTAGGCAGTGCATGACTGTACAGTATTCTAGTATATGGATGTATTATAATTTATTCACTTATTTATTTATTGCCCTTTTTTTGCTGTTATTGAGTGCTAAGATAAATACTCTTGTGTATACACCTTTGTACACTTGTCAGCTTATCTCCTTAGGATAAATTCCTATGAATGATATTGCAGCATTATAGGGTACACATTTTTTAAATTTTGCAATAGATTGCCAGATTGAATTAACGGTTATACTGTTTTATGCATTGACTCATTACTATTGTATATTAGAGTTAAAAATTAGTGTCTGTTTCCCTATACCTTTACTGACATATTTTTCACATTTGACTACTTTATAAGCAACACTTGTCAATCTTTTGGCATTTATTTTATTACTAATAAGGTTAGTCTCTTAAAAATACAAGGTTTACTGACCATTCTTGTTTTCTTCTTTTGTGAAATAATTGATAATTTTGTCCATTGAAAGATAGGTTTTTATAATGACAAGTAAATAGTACTGATTAATATTTTATAGTAATAGCGGAATATTAGTATTTTTCATATAAAATAATTTTGTCTTAGGAGGTTTTAGAAATTAATCCATTGGACATTTGCAGTAAAAGCATTGATGTTATATTACTTGGTAGTAAGATAACTGAAAGTTTTTGTATTTTTAATATGATGCTCTTTTAAATTTTTTTAAATTCCCTTTAGGGTCATTCTCTTAGTGATGGGCTGGATGAAGTCCAAAAAGCAGAAATGAAAGCCTACATGGAATTAGTCAACAATATGCTGTTGACTGCAGAGGTACAATAGAAGATACTAGGCCTTGAAAATAAGCTTTTTTCTCATAAAATATAATCTTTCTCATGGACTATTTTAAAGTTACTGAGAAATAGGAAAATAGTCAAGCAATTCTCAGGCCAAATAAACTAGATATTTGGTCATTATCTTTGAACGAGTTGCCTGACATTTTCAGTTCTAGTTTTTCTGTTTGTAAAAAGAGTGATTCTTGCCCACTCATTATTTTGCTTTGGCCTTGTGAAGTTTATTTAAATAAAATAATATCTGTAAAATATGTTAATGGTATTTAGAGATATACTGTATGAATAAGAAATATTTTTATAAAGTACTGCCATTAAACGTAATAATTCTGTATAGCAACATTAGCCAAGGAAAAAAACCCTCACATATGTGACTTTTATAAAATTGCTTATAAAAAATGACCATGGCAAGAAATAACTTTCTTTATCCATTTTTCTCTTTGGTATTCTAAAGTTTTAGTGATTGTTCTTTTGTTCCTAGTTGTATCTTCAGTGGTGTGACGAAGCTACAGTAGGGGAGGTGAGTGGTTCTGCAGCATTTATCTTAATTAAAATTTAATGAGAAAACACTTTTGCTCAGAATCGTAAGTCCCTGCTCATAAATGAAACATTGTGGTTTATACCATTAGTGATATAGTTTTTCACTTACTTTAATTTTGCTTGCACATACATTTTAGGGAAGCTATGTGTCATTATTTGATATAACTGGTTGCAAAGTACATAAAAGTTTATATATTTTTAAAGGGAATGGTTTAAAATTTTAATTTTTTAGATTGTAAGCTATGTATTTTTTTCAGATTCCTCTATTTGTGTTCTGAAAATATATTTCTCTTAGAATTCTATTAGTTAAAACAGGCTTTGTTTTTAGAAAGAATCACATTTTTAACAAAGTCTTTTTCTTTAGATCACTCATGCTAGGTATGGATCTCCTTACCCTTGGCCTCTGAATCATATTTTGGCCTATCAGAAGCAGTGGGAAGTCAGGCGTAAGATGAAAGCTATTGGATGGGGTAAGAAGACTCTGGACCAGGTCAGTTCAGACTGAAGTTGACAAAACCCTCAACTTTAATGCATTAAGAAATTCATTGTTTGTATTCAAAGTCTTATAAATCCCAACGTAATAAAAAATTAACAAAACGTTTGCTCTTATTTTCTCTGGCATGAAGTAGTTTTATTTGTTTTATAAAAATCACAGATGCTTATTGTAAAGCAAATGATATAATACCAAAAAGTTCAAAGGAAATAAAATTGCCTGAAATCCTACCACCTAGAAATCGCCACTGTTAGCTATTTGGAGAACATTCTTCTGGATGTCTCTTAATAACGTTTTCCTTAAAATGGGATCATATTATACCTACCATTCTATAACCTGATTTTTTTTCCATTCGACATTACATCGTGGGCATCTTTTAAGCCAATAAATATAGATGTGGCATCATGGCTTAAAAAAAACCCTGTTAAATACAGTGCTTAAAATATCTATTTTTCTTTGGTCTTAAATTTACTGAAGTAGCAAAATTAACAAAATATATATCTTGTCAAGGTCATGAGTTTGAGCATCAATCATTAAGCTAATTAATGTCTCTTTTCCAAGGCTACCCCTAGTCCTAGCTAGCCAGCTTACTGATGTGTGCCATTGGCCACAAGGATGATTGGGTAATTGAAGAGGGATGGAGTAAATAAAACCCATCTTCACTAGTAGGAAAACAACTCAAATGCTTTTACTCATGGTAGGTCAGCAGTGTCATCTTTATGGAGTAGATTTTTTTAATATATATAAAGTCAGTCATTTGAACATATGGATTCAGGAAAACATTTTTGTAGGGAATGGAGTTTTCAGATAAAAACTTTCTTTATAGTAATCCTTATAAGTAACTTAAATGCACTTGTATTTAAAGGAAATTTGCTCTCATTTTCTTCCTATTTCTTATATAGAAAGTATTATTTATGTTCTATGTGTGGTCTGTAGTCTTATTTAAATATATTCCAAAAAGTTACCTAAATTTATATTTTTGTTGTAAAGTGTGATATAAATTAAGTTTTAGACACATTTTATTATTTTGCTAATTTAAATGTTTTTCTTTTGGGGTCTGCTGCCTATGTTAGGTCTTAGAAGATGTAGACCAGTGCTGTCAAGCTCTTTCTCAAAGACTGGGAACACAACCATATTTCTTCAATAAGCAGTAAGAAATTTTATTGTTTTTAATTTCTGTATTGTTAGGTTACACACTTATTTTATCATAGAGGAATTGTTTTATCAAGAAATATTTATGAAAAAATTTAGTTATATTTGAATTCATTTTTCCTTCAAGTAAACACTTACTTAGCTCTTCTTGGGTGTCAGGCGCAACACTAGGCTCTGGGAGACAGATTTCTAAAATGTGGTCCTTGCCATCAAGAATTTCTCCTAAGGGGAGACGTGTAAATCAGTCACTTTGTATGATATGTAGAGGTTCTGCTAGAGGTAGTTCACGGTGCTGTGTATGGAACTACGACATCAACAAAATTCTAAACTTGCAAATTACTATTAAAATATGAAGTGTAACCATACTTGTCTGTATAAGGTAATACCCTGGGGACTAGAGAAGTGAATGAAACTAAACAATAACAAATACTGTTGGATGGACAAGCACTATTATGAACTTATTTTTTCAAAGTTAATGAAATATTTGTAAAGCACAGAAATGAAGGCTATAGATTAAACATGTAAATTGAGTAAGTCATGTTTCATTAAGACAGATTTTTTTTTTTGTAATTTGGAAACGAATGTTTAGTGTAAGCAAAGAATGAGTTTTCCCTTTTTTTAAAAAAGTAATTTAATATATCAGAATCAGCTAGTCTGTGATCTGGTTTAAGATGAGCTTAAATTTAGCCTTTTAATCTCAATGATTTGCTTAGAAATTCTAACTTTTTCTTGACTTTTTAATAAAAATTCCTTGCTTTTAGATTAGTAATTTTTAAAAAGCTTTATTTGCTATTATTTATTATATCTTCATAGGCAATCATCTTCTGTAGCCATATCTAACATCTTTTGGTAGAGATGCTAATATTTGTAACAAAAGTGACTATGATGATGGCTTGGAAATAGTAGTTATATTAATATGTACTATATGTAACTGATGTTAAAATAAAATTTGGGGTCTCTTGATCTCTGAAGCAGGAAGGTCATAGAATTCAAATCATGAAATGCTGGTAGCTAAGGCTTCTATAGCTGTGTTCCTGTTTCTGGTGATGTTTCCTCTGCAGGTTCTGTTTGTTTAGTCTGTAACACAAAAGAAATGTATCCAAATGTTAGTATATTATGTAGATCCTTTTCTTTCTGATACAGGAATTCTTACTAGTTGAAGAGCTCAGAAGGGGTATGTTTCACTGTTTGAAGTGCATCATTCTGTGTTAGGAGTTAGTTTTGTTATGCAGGCTGTCTTAATGGGAGGCCAGGAGAATAGATCTAACTTATTTTTCTCCTCCTTTAAACTCAGTCTCAAAGAGTTAGTAACCAGGTATCATTTGACATGTGATTTCAGTGGAAATATAAAAATATTTTTTTCTTCATAAGTGTCCAATTACATTTAAACTTATAATGAAAAATTCAAAATTTAGAACAGGTGCAAAACCAAAGGTTGCTACTGAGGAACTGTTTAATATTAAGATGTAGGTTTTTGAAATAATTTTACCTTATATGAGTCTCAGACAAATATTTTTCCCTAACAATTATTATTGATAAATAGATTTTTTTATTTTTAATTTTAATTTTACTCAGTTGTTTAATTAATATTAAAATGCAGGTAAACTACATTTAGGAAAAAGTAACTTATTTTCACTTTGTTGTGGCAAAGTTTTTCTCATTCCTTTATGTTGCAGGAGTCATTAGTTTGTGAGACACCATACCTTAGTGAAAAGAGCACTGGCTTAGGTCAAGATATATAGTATTAGATTCTAAGTCTGACACCCCGAATGCTATTCTTGGCTCTAACATATACCAAACTTTGGCAGGTGACATTATTTCTGTGTGTATCCTCCCTTTACCCTCTAAAGTTAGGATCAACTTTTCTCCTAACTTGTCTACTAAGGATGTTGAGAGGACTCATGAAAAGAAAGCCAATAGCTTTACTTGATGAGAGAAAGTAAAAGAGTTGTTTAGGGAGAGCTTGCAGCAAGAACAGCAATTGAGAAAAAGAGGACAAAGAAGCTAAATGGTGGAAGGGAAAGAGGAGAATGAATTTGAAAAAAATAAGTAATAGTACAAGGTAGATACTAACATTAGTGGCCTTTTTTACCCTTCATAATATATACGGTTGGTAGCTTTTAAATATTTAAATTATATTTGAGAAATGCAACTAAAATAAAATCTGTACTACCTATGACATACATGCTATTTTGCTCATGTGATATCTGTTAAGACAGCTACACAAAGACTGCTAGGTCATTTTTTCCCTTTCACCTGGTGAGTGTGGACTTGCAATGAACAACTAAAACTTTTTTAAAGTGGTATTTTTATGTTACCTTTTTAATAAAGGGGAAGAAAGAGTAGAAAAATATATATGTGTACTTTTTCTAAATGTAATCATGATAGAAAGAGTTATACTATTCTAAAACTTTTATGAGCTCCTTGTAGGTCTGTGTGTTTTTCAAACAAAACCTGTTAGCTAGAAGAAGCTCAGTAATTAAAACTAGATCAAATTGAATGAGAAAGTGGAAAAGGAATTTGATTTGAAAAAGAAAAACTACTGCTATTAACCGTTAGGGTACATGGTAAAATTCGAAAATATACCTTCATGTACTGACGGGAGAGTATACTGAAGAAATGGTGCAAAAATTATGCTTGGGAATCTTAAGATGAAAAAATTTCGGGGAGGAATAGGATTATATTGAGGTTTATTCAATTAGGAAATCACCAGTTAGGAAAATTGAGGGGAAATTGCTCAAAAATATCCAAAGGCAAATTTAGAAGAGGTTGATGGCAAGAGGCTTAATGTACAAGCTTGAATGACAGTCCTAAAGATCAGTGATTGATGTATAAAGAAAGGATGTGTAGAGCCAGCCCTGATGGTCTCGTGGTTAAAGTTTGGCACTCTCACTCCTTTGGTGGCTCAGGTTTGTTTCCTGTTGCAGAACCACACCACTCATCTATCATTCTGTCAGTTGCCATGCTATGGCAGCAGCTCACATAGAAGAACTAGAAGGATACTTAGAACTAAGATATATAACCATGTACTGGGGCTTTGGAGAGAAGGAAAAAAAGAGCAAGATCAGCAGCAGATATCAGCTCAGAGTGAATTCCTTCCCTACAGCAAAAAAAGAAAGAAAGGATGTGTAGATTGCTTCTAGTAGTATAAAGATATGACAAGTTAATAGTGTAATGGGGAAAAAAATTAGGGAACACTCAGGCAAAATTAATGTTTTTGAAACTAGACTGACAATGAAAGGTGTCAGAGAGGAAGAAAGAAATATGGATTCATAAGAAAGCAAAAGAGATAAATGCATAAAAATTTTAAATGGAAAAGCTTAGGAAAACATTCATATTTTACAGTACTGTTTTTATTTTGATACTCAAATGAAAGAATAGTAGATATCTGGTGGATATTAGCAGAACCTATTGGGATAATCATTTATTTCACAGTATATGTAAATCAAACCATCATGATGTGCACCTTAAACTTATCCAGTGGTGTAGGTCAATTCTTTCTCTCTAAAACTGGAAAAGAAAAAGAATAGTAGATAACCAACAGAAATGTGGAAAGAATGATAATGCAAGATAAAAAGGCAACAAATTTTTTAGGACTTTAAAAGTATATTTGTCACCGTAGACTGTTTTTCTAATAAAAAGTCTATAAGGTAAATGCAATAATATATATCAAAGATGTTAAAGGTCTTAGGAGGAGAGTTGCTACTTATATTCAAATTACAATCCACAAACATTTAGTAAGCAGAAGGGTGGAAATGTTGTGTTTTCTCTCCATGTGGTATAGGAAAAGTAATTAAAACTGGAGTTATGTGAAGATCTTGGCTTGATTAAACAGTTCAGTAGAAATACTGAGTAAAGTATATTTTTTTGTCTGTCTCACATTTGAGTTGCAAATATTTTTCTGAGTTTATTGCTTTTTTTCTTGAAGTCAGGTTTATTGTAGTATAATTTGCATGTAGTAAAATTGACGATTTTATGTGTCTAGTTCTATGAGTTTTTACAATGGTGTATATTTGTGTAACCACTACCAAAAGTATACTTTTCAAAAAGAAAGAATTGTGGGAATTGGTAATTTATATATATCAGAGTCAATTAATATAAATAGTTGCTGAAATTTTTAAGGATTACAAAAAATATACATTAAAAGTTATGTGTTTGTGGGCTTCTTTTCTTTAAGATTGGCACCTGAGCTAACATCTGTTGCCAATCTTCTTCTTCCTTCTTCTTCTTCTCCCCAAAGTTCCCCCAGTACATAGTTGTATATTCTAGTTGTCGGTCCTTCTCGTACTGCTATGTGGAGCGCTACCTCAGCATGGCCTGATGAGCAGTGCCATGTCCGTGCCCGGGATCTGAGCTGGCAAAACCCTGGGTCGCCGAAGCAGAGTGCAAACTTAACCACTCGGCCATGGGGCCGGCCCTGTGTGTGTGTTTTGTTTGATTTAGTATATTGTATTCTACTTCCTGTTAGATATTCTAAAGTAACTTGCCACAAAGTTGCTATCTTTGTTAGATCAGATCAATTTTTGTATGCTCATTACCCATATATTATTCAGCACCTTTTGAGTTATGTGGATGTGTATTTGCAGCAAATAACATTTTGACCACTTCAGGGGTACTTCTAGACCACTCTAGTTTGAACATACATTCCTACTTGAACTCATTCCGAGCCTTCATTTATTGATTAAAAAAATGCTCATCTACACTACTGGAAGTTGTATCAGGGAATATATTCACCTTTTTTAAGCTCGAGTACAAGAAGCGAAGGGTACTTAACTCTAAATAAGGATTAGGAGAATAAATCCTAAATTGATGAGATAAGATAGAGCTTTTAAGAAATATGTTTAGGAATATGGAAGAGTTGGTGTTCATATTACTTCTCACAAAGTGCCTCAGCTCTACATTTATCCACCTTCTACATCCTTGGTTCTTTTCAGGTGTCCATTTGTTAATTATTCTTCATCTGTAATGATAAGATCACGGTGCTATCAAGTCCAAGGACACTGTGATTTTTTTTTAACTATCCTGTTGGCTACCCTCTTAAACATGACCAGAGACTGCACAATTGACTTTGATTGATACTTCGTGAATGTGTCAAAAGATGGAAGGATTTGAAAGAATTTGAGTAACTACTACTGAAAAATTAAATATCCTACACACCTTATTTTATTCATTCATTCAGCAAATATGGACTCAGTTCCTCAGATACTTTGCTAAGAACTAGGGATATAAAGATCTATGCAGTGTTGCCTTTAAAGAGCTTGGAGTATAATGGGGGAACTGGTTAAGTAAACATAGTGATAGTGTGGGATGAGAAGTGCAGCACCTTTTCATTGCTTCATTCGACACTTACTTATTGAGAGCCTACTTTCTTGCTGAGTATTGTTCCAGGTTTTGGGGACATAACAGGAAACAAGTGGACAAGGTCTCGGTAGAGGGAGACAGACAATTAACAACAAATATTAGATAGTTTTGACTATCCCTTCGATGGAGACCTGTATTATTTAGTGAATAAATTACTGAATATAGTCAATTACACCAATTGTTTTAACACATTTAAATGATACTGCTACTTCAAGAAGCAAGTCACACACCTAGCAAATCATAGTTAAAAAGATTTTTTTTTTTCTTATCTTGTAACAGAAACTCCAAGTTAAAACAATCAATTTTACCAAGTTGGGGTAGGATTTATTTCTTATGTGACTTTTTTCTTTTAAATAGATGAACAAAATATTTTCAAAAATAGTATGTATTCTATATAACTTAATCACTATTCATGTTACTCTCATTTCTGCTGTTGTTTTAGGCCTACTGAGCTAGATGCACTGGTATTTGGCCATCTGTACACCATTCTTACCACACAGTTGACCAGTGATGAACTGTCTGAGAAGGTGAAGAACTATAGCAACCTCCTTGCTTTCTGTAGAAGAATTGAACAGCACTATTTTGAAGATCGTGGTAAAGGCAGCTCATCTATCAGATTGTCTTAGAGTTATGTGTAAATCTAGTTATTATTTAAAAAAATTAACTTTTGAAATACATATTACTTGAATGATGTAACAGATAATGGTATCAGAATTTTAAAACCGAAAACACTGCTTTTCCAATCCTCAAAACAAACATAATGTATCCTACATAGGTACTTTATACCATTATTTTGTGTACACATTAAAATAATGTTAAATGATATAATTTGATATGTTGTACTCTATATCTTGAAATTTTTGTTCCTTTCAAATATGTGTGCATATAAAAATAAAGCTCAAACAACTGTATGGCTGGTGTGCTTACTTTCTTTTGATCTTTCTGTAAGCCACTCTCTGAGCTTTATACATGAAATAAACAGTGTCTTTTCTAAGGCAAGTAATTTATGTTCCATACTCCCAAGATGATTTTGGCAGATACATGGTGGACCTGGTCATGGGAAAGTATGCACTTAGTATGTTCTTAACAAGTATGCACTTAGAAAATGTGAATGCTTGCAAGACAATTAAATCCTGGAACAGAGTGCCATTTAAGAACATTGTTCGTATATCTAAACTTAGTTGAATTTAAAGACATTTCATCTGAGCAGCTATAATTTACATTTGATAAAGGGATAGTTTGAAGGACTTTATCTTTTTGAAACTTTTTTTTGAAACAAGAATATTTTAATAATGCTGTTTTGTTCCTTTTGTGGGGAAGGGAGGAGAGTTTTCACAGAAGTATAAACAGGAATTTATATATAAGCTTGGAGGATTATATGTTGTATCACTTTCAAATTTTCTAACATTTTATATAAAACCAATGACGCTATAAAGATCAAATGTAAAAATCTTTTCTTGCAAATGTCTACAGTAATAGTACTTTTATTATTATTTTTTTTATGTACCAGGCATTTTTAACTCATTTAATCCTTGCAAACACACTATGAAGGTTATTATCCCCAGTTCACGGAATAGGAAATGGAGACACAGAAAGGGTAATAATACCTTTCCCAAGGTCAGAGAGTTAGTAAGTGGTAGAATTCAAACCCAGGCAGTTGGAATTCAAACCCAGGCAGTCTGGTATTTGTTTGATTTTTAACAAAATTTTTTTTTTTTAAGATTATAGGTTTATAGCATACAAGGGATGTGTTAGGTTCTCCTTAGTCTAAATCCCACATAAACTTTGGGTACTCTCTTTGGACTATAGTGCTATTTATTATAGCTTTCCTGAACTAATTTTGTCATGTGTAGTAGTATTAAAATAAGAAATCCCAAGTTACCTGTGTTCTTGCACAATTTTTATGACAGGTTTTTTGTGTATATTTTTGTATACTTGTTCTGTACTTACTATATACTTTTTTCTTTTAATATTATCATGACATTCATTTAATTGAATAAGTACCGTTTGTATGTTAGTATATAAAATCTATACTTTTTTCTTTCAGTTTTTTGGATGTAAAGATAGTACGACACCATATTTTAGTCTTAGTCATTGCAACTAGCTGTATTGTCTTAATGTGAGGAACACTGGGAGACAGAGGTTATTTATTCCAAGTTGAGATATTTACCCTTATTTAAGACTTACACTGTAGGGATCACTCTCAGAGAGGTCTTATTTCTCTCTCATGTTGAGTGAATCACCACCAAAACAGAATGTAGTAGAAAACAGAAATCTCGACATCCCATTATGGTGATTCAGTTACCTGCTTTTATCTTTTAAATTTGGGTCAGAAAGCCAAGTCACAGTAGCTAAAAATTACCCCTGAAAAGCCAGTTTGCCGACCAGAGTTAAATGTGGTTTTGCTGCCAAAATACTTACCTGTGTACTGGATTTTAAAATAAGTGGCATACCTTATTTAAATTAAAATCGTAAGTGGTGAGAAACTGTTACTGAGCAACGGCTAGCCACCAGATGTGCACAGAAGGCGACACCGTGGCACACTGGCTTTTGAGAGAAAAAAGGCTTCATTGCAAGGTTGACCAGCAAGAAGACAGGAGATAAGCTCTCAAATCTGTCTTTTTGGTCCAAGGTATGGGGTAAAGTTTAAGGGAGCAAGGAGGGCTGACTGGTATGCGGAAGTGCTAGCAGGGTGAGTTTCCATCGGCAGGTCAAATTTTTCTCTTCTGCATATGCTCCTGGCTGGCTCACTGTCCCTGAAAAATAGCTTTAACATTCTGTTGTTAAGATGGGATCAGTTAGGGGAGCTTACCAGGAAAAGTACAGTAAACAAGGGTACAGTTGTTAAGCAGATTTAAGTCATTGTCTTCTCCATTGATAAAGAGTTTCTAGAGATTTAGAGTTATCCTCCTCTTCCTGGCACAGAGAAGGAGAAACCCTTACAAATGGAGATATCTCTTGTAAATGTAAATATGCCTTACAAAATAACCTCTACTAGGTTTTCAGAGCTTTTCCTGTGTCTGCTGTTTCTTTTTTTTCTTTATTTTTTAAATTTTTTTTAAATTTTTTTTTTCCGGATGTACATCATATTTCAAATTCTGTATGCATTATATCATCTTCACCACCCGAACACTAATTATAGTGCATCCCCTCCCATGTGACCCTAATCACCCCTTTTGCCCTCCCCCCTACCCCCTTCCCCAATGGTAACCACAGTCCCATCTCCAATGCTATGTTTTTGTTTTTTTTTGTCGTTTTTATCTTCTACTTAAGAGTGAGATCATATGGTATTTGACTTTCTCCTTCTGACTTATTTCACTCAGCATAATACCCTCAAGGTCCATCCATGTTGTCACAAATGGCGGATTTCGTCATTTCTTATGGCTGAGTAGTAGTCCATCGTGTATAAATACCACATCTTCTTTATCCATTCGTCCCTTGATGGGCACCTAGGTTGCTTCCAAGTCTTGGCTATTGTGTATAATGCCGCAATGAACATAGGGGTGCAAGTATCTTTATGCCTTTGTGTTTTCAAGTTCTTTGGATAAATACCCAGCAGTGGAATAGCTGGATCATATGGTAGATCTATCCTTAATTTTCTGAGGATACTCTATACTGCTTTCCATAGTGGCTGCACCAGTTTGCACTCCCACCAGCAGTGAACAAGGGTTCCCTTCTCTCCATACCCTAACAGTTGTCGTTTCCTGTCTTGTTAATTATAGCCATCCTGACCGGATTGAGGTGATACCTCATTGTAGTTTTGATTTGCATTTCCCTGATAGCTAATGATGTTGAGCATCTTTTCATATGCCTGTTGGCCATCTGTGTATCTTCTTTGGAGAAATCTCTGTTCAGATCTCTTGCCCATTTTCTAATTGGATTGTTGGTTTTTTTGTTGTTGAGCTGTGTGAGTTCTTTGTATATTTTGGATATTGACCCCTTATCTGATATGTGGTTTGCAAATATCTTCTCCCAATTGTTAGGTTGTCTTTTCGTTTTGTTGATGGTTTCCTTTGCTGTGCAGAAACTTTTTAGTTTGATGTAGTCCCGTTTGTTCATTTTTTCTTTTGTTTCCCTTGCCCGGTCAGACATGGGACTTGAAAATATGCTGCTCAGACCAATGTCATAGAGCGTACTACCTATGTTTTCTTCTAGAAGTTTCATGGTTTTGGGTCTTACATTCAAGTCTTTAATCCATTTTGAGTTGATTTTTGTGCATGGTGTAAGGGAATGGTCTACTTTCATTCTTTTGCATGTGGCTGTCCAGTTTTCCCAACACCATTTATTGAAGAGACTCTCCTTTCTCCATCGTATGCTCTTGGCTCCCTTGTCGAATATTAGCTGTCCATAAATGTGTGGGTTTACTTCTGGGCTCTCAATTTTGTTCCATTGATCTGTGTGTCTGTTTTTGTGCCAGTACCATGCTGTTTTGGTTACTATGGCTTTGTAGTATAATTTGAAATCGGGGAGTGTGATACCTCCAGCTTTGTTCTTTTTTCTCAGGAATCCTTTGACTATTCGGGGTCTTTTGTTGTTCCATATAAATTTTAGGATTCTTTGTTCTATTTCTGTAAAAAATGTTGTTGGAACTTTGATAGGGATTGCATTGAATCTATAGATTGCTTTAGGAAGTATGGATATTTTAACAATGTTAATTCTTCCAATCCAAGAGCACGGAATATCTTTCCATTTCTTTGTGTCTTCTTCGATTTCTTTCAACAATGTCTTATAGTTTTCAGTGTACAGATCTCTCACCTCTTTCGTTAAGTTTATTCCTAGGTATTTTATTCTTTTTGTTGCAATTGTAAATGGGATTGTATTCTTAATTTCTCTTTCTGCTGCTTCATTGTTGGTGTATAGAAACGCAACCGACTTTTGTACATTGATTTTGTATCCCGCAACTTGCTGTATTCCTTTATTATTTCTAAAAGTTTTTTAGTGGATTCTTTAGGGTTTTCTAGATATAAAATCATGTCATCTGCAAAAAGTGATAGTTTCACCACTTCTTTTCCAATGTGGATCCCTTTTATTTCTTTTTCTTGCCTGATTGCTCTGGCTAGGACTTCCAATACTATGTTAAATAAGAGTGGTGACAATGGGCATCCTTGTCTGGTTCCTGTTCTTAGAGGGATAGCTTTCAGTTTTCCTCCATTGAGAATATTTGCTGTGTGTTTGTCATATATGGCCTTTATTATGTTGAAGTATTTTCCTTCTATACCCATTTTATTTAGAGTTTTTATCATAAATGGATGCTGTATCTTGTCAACTGCTTCCTCTGCATCTATTGAGATGATCATGTGATTTTTATTCTTCGTTTTGTTAATGTGGTGTATCACGTTGATAGATTTGCGGATGTTGAACCATGCCTGCATCCCCAGAATGAAACCCACTTGATCATGATGTATGATCTTTTTAATGTATTGTTGTATTCAATTTGTTAGTATTTTGTTGAGGATTTTTGCATCGATGTTCATCAGTGATATTGGCCTGTAATTTTCTTTTTTTGTGTTGTCCTTGTCTGGTTTTGGTATCAGGATAATGTTTGCTTCGTAGAAGGAGTTAGGAAGCTTCCCCTCCTCTTCAATTTTTTGGAAGAGTTTGAGAAGGATAGGTATTAGGTCTTCTTTGAATGTTTGGTAGAATTCACCAGGAATGTTTGGTAGAATTCACCAGGGAAGCCATCTGGTCCTGGACTTTTATTTTTTGGGAGGTTTTTAATTGCTGTTTCGATCTCCTTACTGGTGATCGGTCTATTCAAATTTTCTACATCTTGGTCCAGTTTTGGAAGGTTGTATGTTTCTAAGAATTTATCCATTTCTTCTGGATTATCCAATTTGTTGGCGTATAGTTTTTCATAGTATTCTCTTAATATCGTTTGTATTTCTGAGGTGTCCGTTGTAATCTCTCCTCT